TTAATTTATTCAATTTGCAATTCATACACTACTGTTCAAAAGTTTGGGATTGGTGAGATTTTTTTTTATATGTTTTTGAAAGAAATCTCTTATACTCATAAGGCTGCATTTATTTGATAAAAAAATGCAGTAATGTTGTGAATTATGTGAACTGTTTTCTGTTTTAACGTAGTTTAAAATGTAATTTATTTTAAATAAAAAAAATTGAAGTTTTAAACGCATTCAAATAATTTTATTTTAAATGTTTCATTAAAAGTTACTAGTTTATGAAAGTTTTTTAAAACCATTTGAAACCACCATGAATACGAAGAGTACATTTCTAGTAACTAATTTCCAGTGACCCTTATATAAGGATCCCACAGCCAGCAACACAACTCTGCTCACTTCGCGACTACTAATCTGTGTGTGTTTGTGAGAGGGAGGTTGTGTGTGCATTCAAACACACGCACAAGTGCGTTCATATGTATATTTGAGGGCAGCAGCGCATGCTCCAGCTAGCCAGTGCGTGGTTTATTTTTAACAGGCTTTCTCAGAGACAAGCTTGCAGGTCACGTTGTTAGAAAGAGGCCAGTAAATTCACATAGAGTGATTCCAGAGGAATCTATAGATCACTGTAGATTCTCTTCCATCAACTATATAAGGACCTCTATGACCCTCGAAATTTATCTTTAGGGTTTTTCCTATCTTTCTTTCCTTCTCCTATGCCACACATGGGCTCTTCACTTCTGCAGTTTTGGTGGGGGGTGAAGAAATATGTAAACACTGACTTCAGTGGGAGAGGAGGACTTACAACAAGACTCTGGTCAAACAACTGGCAACAGTGTGCTGCTCTGTGTAATGTGTTTATAGGGTTTTTTGTGTGTGTGTGAAAGCAGTGTTAATTTAGTCAACGAAGACGACGACGAAAAATATTCGTTAACGAACATTTTTTCTGTGACTAAGACGAGACGTTGATGAGCTAAAATTAATATCTGATGATAAACACTATGACGAAATTTATGCCGCGACCTAGT